GATGAATTAAGTCATTCAATCTGCCATTTAATCTGAATTTCTTTAATATTAGATACTATATAAAATTAAATAATTTAGAGTTTCAATCCGAATAATCTGTCATCTGTTTATCTGTATTTAATTATCTGAATAATTAAGATTGCTCAGATTTTTAGTTATGCCTACTTCGTGGTCAATAACTGATTTATTTCATGGTTCAATTATACTTTCATATTATTTCTTTAAAAGTGATGTAACCAATAAGTGTAAAATTTTAAATAAATAAAAAAAAATCAATTAAAAAAAATTAACTCTTTCCCAATGTCTTCATCAAATAATTTTACATCTACTCATGAACTTAATACATCAAATAATCCTAATAATATAACTAAAAATAATATTCAACGTTATATAAATAAATCCAAAATTAAAAATAGTGATGTCTGTACACAAAAATGGGTTCGAAGTTTACAAGAATATTATAATAAAAAGAGTATTTCTTATAATATTCAAACACTTAATGACAAAAATTAGCTTGAGCAAGAATTGTGTGAATTTTTTGCAGATATGAAATGATAAGATAGAAAACCATATAAACCAGAATTAATTGTATCTGCTTATACCTCACTTCATCATTACTTTTTTGAAGTTTCTGCTATTAAAAATGTGAATATCAATGATAAATTTCAATTTTCTATATTATATTGTGTTGTAGATAGAAAAATTATGGAAATACAAGATCAAAAACTAGATAAAATTGGTCAGTCAAAAGGTTTAACTGCAAAAGAAATTTATCAGATTATATTATATCTTGAATCTGGTGAACAAACGGTATTAAAACTTACTTGAAAAGCTTTTTTCTAAAATGCATACTTACTGGAACTTCGTAGTAGTGATCATTATCAACTTTTATTAAGTTGTTTTAATTTTCAACAAGATGGAAGTTTGATTTTTATAATTGTGCATGAGAAAAACAATCAAGGTAGATTAAAAGGTTGAAATAAATATGGAAGATTTACTAGCCATCAAATTCATATTCCAGCTAATCAACTTAATAATAAATTTAAGCCAATTCAAGATCTTCGTAATTATGTTAATTTATGTCCATCAGATGCATGCGAATATTTTTATTTGCAATTAACAAGGAATACTCAAGAAATTAATAATGAAAACTAGTTTGGTAAAGAAAGATTAAGAAAAAATACTTTAAGCAATATGATAAAAGAAATTGCTCATATCTCAGATATTAACATTACTGATCAAAGAATTACTAATTATTTGTGAAAGAGAACTGCTATTTAACTTTTATCAGATCTTAATGTTAATGAGCATAAAATAATACAATTTTCAGATCATTGTTCAACTGATGGGCTATGTACTTACAAAATTCCTAATAATGAACAACAGCTTAAAAATTCTACCTTGCTACTTAATACACTTC